TTCAATGATGACAAATGTCTCTTTCCTGAGGCTTTGACCCATCCTGGCTTACTGACCTCTTGGCCTTCTCCCACTCTGGGCCTTTTAAAAATGATGCCAGTGCATTTGATCATGCCCGCTGAGGATTCAGACACTGCCTCAGTCCCTACCCTTAGGTGAAAGGGTCAGCTACCCCAGTGCCTGTTATTAATTGGTCACCCAGCACAAGATTCCATAGAGAACACGGGATTGGAGTGTGAACATCAGTGCCACTCTGTTTTGGTCGCTATATCAGTCCTTAGGAAGGGCCACTCGACCCGAAACGTTAACTCTGATTTCCCTCCACAGGTGCTGCAAGATCTGCTGAGCTTTTCCAGCAATTTCTAGTTTTGTTCCATTCTCTCCCGGCCCTGCCTTCTCCCCCTTACCAGGTCACAGATGATCCCAGGCAATGACGGTGTCTGTCAATATACACAAACATCTATACAATGATGAAAACATCAATACACTTTTAAAATGGGTGCATCAAGAAATAGTGACCCAAAACTTCCACTGGAATACATCTGTCCATTGGTAATCATGTGAAACAATCCCCGTTAGCTTTTGGCAGTTCTGGGATGGCAAGTTGCTGTCTAGGCCTTGATAGAGTACAAGGGAGGTGAACCCACAGCCCCATGATGCCAGAGACCTGAGAATGTCCATTAAGGGAAGCGGCAAGCACAATAGTGATGAACACTGCAGGATAAATATGAAGGAACATTGTAGCATTGTAGGTATTGTATAGCTTCTCATTAAATGTTTTTCTAAAATAGAAAATTATGTTTAATGCTGCATTGTAAGGATTTTTAATTCATTTAAGATTAAATGCCACTTATTTAATAAGTCTAAATGTGACCAGTTTATCTTATTTTAACATTGTGTAACTTACTTACTGTTAATGGTTGAGAGAGCTAAATGAGTAAAGGGATTGGGTAGGCAAGTGGGGGATGATGGTCATGTAGTTGATGGGTAGGGTGGTAGATGCCATTGATGTTGAGGTGTGGGTAAGGGTTTCAGGTAAACTGGGGCGGGGTGGGGGGAGGGGTGTGTGCAGGATTGCAGTGAGGCCAGTCAGGTCGGGGTAAAGTCAGGGGATGGGTGGTTAGCCCCATGGGGTTCAGGGGGCGAGTCTGGTCAGGTCAGGTTAAAGGTAGCAGATTGGTCAGGAGTTGATGCTGGGGGAGGGGGTTTTAGTAGATGTAACGGTCAGTGCTGTATTGGGAGTAAGTTTTATATTTTGCCAGGAGTTACAGCAGGTTTTAATTTCTCTAACATTCCTTGGCTAACTATTAGTAAGTCATGACTGTGACTCTAACTCAGAGTTTCGGACTTTATTGGAGGTTTCCAGACATCACGTAATTGCCCATTGGAAGCTTCAATGTCTTGGGCAATTTTTGCAGAGTCAGCTGCATTGATCAGGATGTCCGCATGGCACCGACGTGCAACTTCAGTCCACACTTCAGCCACAACTATTTTCTTACCTGGAGAGCTGGGCAAAAATATGCAGCTAATTATTGCATTTTTTTGTAACTTTGTTTAAATGTTTATCTTTTACCCTTTGCATATGATTCACTTTATGTTCTTATTCATGCAAAAGCCCATCCAATTTTACTGGAATGTAAATGTCAATTGAAAAACGTGCTTTGGATTTTTCCTAAACAATTTGAGTACTTTCAGCAAAAGCTTAATCTGTACAGCATTCACTCGTATCCTTTAAAAAGAATTACATATTTGAAACTTTCAGTTGGAGATGAATCCAAATTGGTTGCAGCTTACTTAGGCTATCTTTTTGATTGCATCATTTTTCCATCTGGAAGAACTGTAGCAGTTCGCAGCATAATCTATTTAAATATTAGACAGAATGTGTAGCAGAGAAAATTTGGATGAATTCTTTGGTTAGCAGATTTGAAATTTTAAAGTCCAAGTCTTAGGTTTTTTTTCAAGTTCATCCATGGGATTTGGACGTCACACACTAGCTGAACAAATGTTGTGTGCCCTAATTGCCCTTGAGAAGACAGTAGTTAGTCACCTTCATAAAACCACTTCAGTCCATTTGGTGCACTCAAACCCATAGTTTTTTTTTTCCTTTATTCATTCACGGAATGAGGCACAACCAGCTAAGCAGCATTTATTGCCCATCCCTAATTGCCCAGAGGGCGGCTAAGAATCAACCACATTGCTGTGGGTCTGGAGGCCAGATCAGGTAAGGAAGGCAGCTTCCTTCCCTAAAGGACATTGATGAACCCATTGGTTTTCCCAACAATCGACAATGGATTCATGGTCATCATTCGACTCTTAATTCCAGATATTTATTGAATTCAAATTCCACCATCTGCCATGGCGGGATTCGACCCCAGGTCCCCAGGACATTATCCGGGTCTCTGGATTAACAGTCCAGCGATAATACCATAGGCCATTGCCTCCCCTGCTTGGAGGAGAGTTTCAGGATTTTGATCCCAAGACACTGAAAGCGTAGCGATTTCTAGCTCCACATCAGAATGTTGTGTGACTTGGAGGAAAACTTGCATATGGTTTGTGTTCTTATTTATCTGTTTGCCTTGTTCTCCTAGGTATAGAGTTTGCAGGTTTGGAAGGTGCTGTTGAAAAGCCTTGGTATGTCTGGTAGATGGCACACACAGTGCAACTGTGTGTCATCGAAACAGATGCCTGTTTAGGTTTGTGCATGTGATGCCAATCAAGTGGGTTGCTTTTCTGCAGATAGTATCAAACTTTTTGAGTGTTATTGGAGCCACAGAGTAGTCCATTCAACTCCTGACTTGAGCCCAGTAGTTGGTGCAAGGCTTTGGGCAGTCGGGATGTGAATTGCTCTCTGCAGAATTCTCAGCCTCTGATCTGCTGTTGTAGCCATATTTTCATATGGCTGGATCAGTTCAGTTTCTGGTCTGTGATATGTCTCTATTCCAAGTATGTTGGTTGCAGTGATTCAGAAATTATAATGTAATTTAATAGCAGATGGAGATAGTACATTGTCTTTTACTGAAGATGGCATTATCGCTGACTCTTTTGTGGAATAATTGTCACTTGCTTATCAGCGTAAACCTGAATATTGTCCATGTCTTGCTGCAAATGGGCATGGACTGCTTCAGTACTTGAGGGAGCTGTGAATCATACTTAAGATGCTGTAACCCTTCAAAAACATGTCCAATGATGGAGATAAGGTCATTGATAAAGTTGTTGAAGACGGTTGGGCCTAAGACATTACCTTGAGGAACTCCTACGGTGATGTCCCGGAGCTAAGATGATTGACCTTCAATAACCATAGCTATCTTCCTTTGGGCTAGGTATAACTCCAACCTTTGGAAGACTTTGCTTCTGATTACTGTTTGTCTCCAGTTTTGTTTGGGCTCCTTAAAGTCATTCTCAGTCAAATACTAACTTGATGTCCAATGCATCACCTTTTCAGTTCAGCTTTGTCGTCCTTTTTCTTGGACCCAAGGTAAAAATGAGGTCAGGTACTGAGGAGCTCTGACAGAACCCAAATCAAAGATTAGTAAGCAGGTTATTGTTGAGTAAATTGTTAAGCATGGTCGATGACACTAGAGTGGGTGGATGACGTGGTAATTGGATGGATTGGATTTTTTCTGCTTTTTGTGTATAGGGCATACCAGCAACATTCCTGCTAAACTGTGCAGCTGTGTGCCCTGATGTTCCTCACATAGTGATCAGAGGTGGCACGCTGATCACAGCATCGACTCTGGATCCAGAAGTTGCAAGTGCACATGGTCCTCAAAGGCCCATACAGGTAGTTAGAAAATTAGAGGGAACACTGCACACCCTGGGCAATTTACCACATTGTCAGGTAGATGCCAGTGTTGTAGCTCTACTGGAAGAACTTGCTGGTTCTGGAGTACGTCAGTCTTCAGTACATGTGTCAGATTCTTGTCAGGGCACATAATCTTTGCTACATCCAGTGCCCTTAAGCTGGTTCTTCTTGTCATATGCAGTGAATAAAATTGGCTGAAACTAGTATCTATGACATTGGACACCTCAGAAGGAAGCCAAGATGGATCATCCAGTTGAAACTTGTGGCTGAAGACAGATCCAAATGCTCCAGCTTTGGCTTTAGTACAGATTTTCTGGGCTCTACCCATCATTGAGCATGGTGACAGTGGTGGAACCACCACCTCCAATAATTGTCCACTGCCATTCACAACTAGATGTGGCAGGACTCTACAGCTTGATCTCATCCATTGGTTGTGCGATCACTTAGCTATATCTGACATGCAAATAATCCATGTTGTAACTTCATTAGATTGACACCTCATTTTTTAAATATACCCTGTCCTGTCCCTTGTTTGCCTTCCTACACTCCTCAGGTTTGATCCCATGGCTTGATGGTAAAGCGAGGGTTTTGAGGTTACAGATTGTTGTTTAATTCTCTGATTACTGATGCACGGAGTGCTTCAAGAATGCCCATTTATCGAGCTGCTAGCTCTGTTCTGAATTTATTCCATGTAGTTCAGTGATAGTGCCATCAACATGACTGCGAGTCTCCTCAATCTGTATTCACTTTGATTGAGATGCATTCTAAGATGTGAAATTCTAACTTAACAGCTACTTCATGAACAACAACTAATGATACAAAATTATTTTCTTTATTGTAACCTTTTCTGAAAGTCTTCAACTATAACATACAACTATTCTATTATTCTAATATTGTAATGTGTTATCTTGGATGTGACTGGGTTGAATTCATTCTGATGTTCCTTTGTCCTTTTTAAAGTTTAACTGGGTCCTTTTGAATAGTGTTATATTCTTCTGGGGGATTGGGTAATAACCAACCTCATTGATTCCTTATTCCACTCCTTAACATGTCGGACAATTCTCTTACCTTTGCTGAAGTAGATTCGATCAGCATCAACCACATATAGAAGCTGGGGACTGTTTGCTTTGTTATTTTTTGGTAACACTTATTTGTTTATAAATGTTGTAACTCAAATGTTAAATTGTATTTTCCTTAGGAAAAGGCGAGGAGCTGTCTGGTTTATCTGGTGACCCAGCTGGCAAACATGGAACACTGTTTTCATCACATACTGCTCCTGGAGATTAAAAAGATCACTGACACATTTGGCAACATTCTAGGTGCTCAGAGCAAAGACATTTATTGTATGAGTAACAGTTTTACTGCAATTGCCAAACTTCTGGTCAAACATCTTGAGAAAGACATTGCTGCATCAGAGAGGTAACTTCTGTTCTCCTAAATAATGCCAGTATTCGTGTATCTGTTTTTTTACAGGTGTGTTTGTCAAAATTAAAGCTGCATAACAATGGGTCATAATTTGCTGTCTGAATAAGTGAGGCCAGTAACACTTATGGAAGTATTACAGCAGCATTCAGTCCTTTTAAATAAGGAAATCCAAAAACTGCTGTGCAAGCTACATCTGTCTATCGTTAGCTTCTTGAAAATAACAACTTAACGTTTGCCTTACTATTACAAAGTATTGAATGGAGTGAAGTTTCTGCATTTTTATAACAGATATGAACAAATCTTTCACAGAAAGATGACATATTCATTTCTGTTAATTTTTTTTTACTGATATGATATCTTAATTATTGTCAATCAACATTACTGGCACAGAAAATTTGGAGTTTTGTTCCTTGAGCTTTCAGTTGTTGATGGATTTAGTTCACAATTTAGAAGAAAAACTCATTTTCTCTCAATTCAATTTTTCCTACCCTCTCTTTATTTCTGTTTCTGTACTGATTTGACATCAAATCTTTCGATCTGATTAATTAAGGAGCTGTATAGTTGCCTGCCCGTTCACTCAGGTCCAAGATGTCTTTTCTGTTGCTGCACATTTGTTAGTTCATACTATTGGTAATTTGTCATACAAGAAATGTAACTTCCATTTTACAAGGGCAAGACCAACTAATGTCAGATGCGGTTAGTGCCCTGCCAGAGCAAATTATAGCACAATTTAAGTATGAATACGTTTAGATTTTATTATACAAAGATTGTTCTTGAGAACCTATTGCCTTATTTGTGTTCCCTCAGAATTTCTAATCTAAAATTACTCTGCTATCAGTTTCAGTCTGTTAGAAAATTCATGAGTTATTTTTTATAATATTTAAATTAAGAAAATGTTAATTTGAAGATGCTTACTCAAGCATTTTGTTAAATTAGATTGCACAGATGATGCCAGACTGCAAGTTTATATTTATCAGGAAGGTATAAACTGCCTCTGGGTCTCTGTTATCTTGAAAAGGCCATGCTGCGTGGTTACTCAACAAAGATCTTCCTTTATAATGAGGAATATATATTGTACCATTGAAAGAAAAGATAAACTTGTACTTATTGAAAGACAATTCCCCATCAAAGTAGCAAGTTGAAAAAAATCAATATGTATTTCTAGAAGAAAGAAATATTAATAAAATATAAAATTAAAACTATGTTTTACTGATTTTTATCATTAAGTCATAAACACATATGATAAAGTCTCGTAGCATCGCACACTGGATGCCCACTTAAGATCACTATTCATCAATTTCTCAACCCCATGCAACTTTAATATACAATTATAAATGCTAAAGTCATCAGATGGATGGTGATATTCCCATCTTTAACTGAGAAAGATACAAGTATCATTTAAATATGGATAAAGTGGAACCTGAGGGAATAAGTATAATTTGAAATAGTTTCCTTTTACACTAACGGTGGTTATAGTTGTCGAAGTGAATAACTTTGTGCTGAATCTTCTCAAATTTTGGCAAAGTTTGACTTTCATAGAGTTTCATAGCAGGTTTCTGTCTGCAAAGCTGAGCGACTTTCTCGTGCAACCATTTGAAACTCACCTCACTTCTAACCGCCTCGAAAACACCCCTCTCATCCAATATTAGCTTGAGTTTCTCATTCACTGGAACTGGAAGTTGCTGCTATTGCTAGAACATGTTGGTGTCATATTTAAAGCACTTGATCAAACACCGACAGTCTGGGTTTGCCCCACATGGGTGCAGAAATTCATCCTGAATGTGGCAGACGATGGGAAATTGGCAGCCCCTTCCATGAACAGGGACCTGGATGGGGTGATGCACAGGAAGGATGTATTCTTACCTCAGGATCAGCAGATGAAACCACAACACCAGCAGTGCAGGAATAAGGTCAAAGACCTTCACTCCAGGGTAAGTGCCACCATCTGCTTTCTGAAACCTCACACTGACTCACTCTTTCCCAGGCGCCACTGCTCTACCACTGTTAGTGCTGCATCAACATCTTCCCTCACTTGTTCTCACCTACCCACTCTCCACCACCTCCCCCCAACCTCAACATGACTAACCCTGCGTGGTCGCACCATTTAATACTCACTCGAGGTACCTCACTACTTCCTTCACTGGTACCAGACTACAGACATGCCAGTCACTTCCTTCTCACTCACCCTCTCACTTTTTCTCATTGTAAGGGAAAATGGCCCATAATAGGTTAGAAAGAGCCAGGACAGATGCTGGGGTGCCAGTCACCCTCAACAAGGAGACGATCCTGGCTCTCACCAGCAAAGACCTGTGGAAATGTAGAAATCTCTGTGTCCAGGCATCCCAGTAAGAAGTGTTGACCATCCCATGACCCTCATTGAAAATTTATTAATAACGTGCCACAACTTCTAACTCTTGGTCTTGATATTTTCGCTGTTTTGTCTCCTGCAGGTACCAGCAGGATATTCATGGCAGTCATAGTCAAAAGAGCTGCTCCCCAAGACATACCTTCCTCCACCTCTGAGGAAGAGGAGTCTTATCAGAGGAAGCACTGCAGGCTGTCTCCACCAGCTCAGGCACTGACACTTTGGTGGGTATTTTCTCTAGATTCGGGTGAATGCATTACTGCAACATCTCTGCAGCTACCCAAGGAAGAAATGCTCCTGGGCACTGAAACTCAGAGGACTGTCAAAGACCAGGCACCTGCTCAGCTCCAGGAAAGGGAAGACACCACGGTGTTGGCAATTCATGACTTTATTGAAAAACACAAACAGAAGGGTCTAGGCCCGAAACGTCAGCTTTCCTGCTCCTCTGATGCTGCTTGGCCTGCTGTGTTCATCCAGCTCTACACCTTGTTATCTCAGACACAGGAGTGACTGGTTGGTTTGGCAGGGGCGCTGGACATCTTGACACAGGCTGCAGGACTGCAGCAACACGGTTAGGATTCTGCTGTCTCCATAGACAGGTTGACAGCTGCCTCGGGGAGCCATACTCAGAGACTGCTCGATATACACACAGACCTGCTCTCCAGCGCTCTAGTCGTAGGTGCTCAGTGCCGATGGCAAGGCAACAGGGATGTGAGGAACCATGCCCTAACTCCAAATGGCCCTTGCTCATAAGGAGATGGTGTGGGTCCAGTAAGTACCCAGCCAGAGGAGGAGCCCTACAGAAGCCTCCCATCAGAACATGGCCGAAGTGGCTGGGCCTGTCACCCTCAGTCCTGCGGATATTCAAGCCGAGGAGCATGCACTTGTTTCCGGTCGGGGCACACTCAGCCAGTTTTCCCCCTCTAGATAAAAACACCTCTGACCAAACTCCAAGGCCAATGGATTCCACTGTAGACCAGAATTCCTCCACCCCAATTGTGAAACCTGGAAATGCATTGAGGCAGAGAGGGAGGGAGAGAAGGAAGACAACCTGACAGCACATTGGCAAGAGTGACACGTCAATGTAAATAAGTTTCTACTTTGATAAACTTATGTGCACTACTCATCACCATCTAAGTGGGGTTCTCTATCTAGCAACAACTACAACCATCCTTAGTGGCATCCTTCATGGTCTGAGGTGAGCAACTGAGTTCTAATGGGTAAATGACAGGTGACTGCTACTTTGGCAACATGGCACAATCTTTCCAGACAGACAAACATTACTATTTCATCATAGGCATTATAGAATTCATTTCTTATCTTGGCATCTTATGCTTGGGACAAGGATTTGCACTGCACCCGGTAGGCTAATGCCAAAGGCTCACAAAGCAGGTAGTGTTTAGAGGTGTCTTTTAGCTTCAGTGTACAAGTGTCTGTGTGATATTGTGGCCTTTTTGAAGGTACTCGCATCACTGGCTGTTCCTCACTGAACGAAGCACTTACTCTGCCCAATCCAGATGTGGTTGCAGTCATTTTAATCTCCACATATATACTTGCTATTTATAGCATGATGGAAGGCAATAGCAGTTGTTTCTCAAAGACTGAGTTTTGGGTTCAGCCTTTACCTCTCTATCTGGTGAATCCCCAACAGAAAAATCCCTTTCCTGGTAACCTCCTCTATCAACCCCTTCAGCTTTGCACTTTCCGAAGGCCTAGAGCAACACATGTTTTTCAATGTTTTCAACTGCCCACATGCCAGGTCAGTTCGTGCACTGTACCACCATCAAAGCCAGGGTGCTGCTTACAATTGATAAACCCCCACCCCACTTCCTACATGATCTTTTTCCCTCTTATGCTACCGTCTCCCCTCCTGTATATATTGAGTTTTCCCCTTCAGTATTGCAATCTCATCTGCATCCCAAGATTCTGACTCCAATCCCTGAGTTAAGCTCTCCAGCCTCTGTACTGCTCTAGTGCTCCCTGACTAATGCCCCTTGACTTTTTATGAATTGACTTCTGGCACTGACCATGGCCTAACCCCTTCAGCAACTTAACTGGGCAGCTCCAAACGATAAGTGACCAGATCCCTGAATGATAACTCCACAGCTCCCCAGCTATCTTCTGCTGATTTACTGTGCTGGGACCCTGGCTGTTGGGTGTCTCCCTGCGCTGAAGACTACTCCTCTTTGACTTGGAGATGTGGCCACTCAGTTGTAGCACACACAGTGTGTTGGTGTGCACATGGCTGGTGTACGCTGCAGGTGAGAGATTGATGTAGGACTATGGCGTTTAGCAAAAATGTCCCCCCCCACCCCCGACCTTGACAGATGACAAGCTGTCTGGCTTTATTTATGTGCTAAGCTGAATACAAGTTAGAAGTACTGTAAGCCATTAAGGTGCAGCTAAGGGGGCAGAGCACTACACACAAATCAAGGTATGCTGTGAGCATTCAGGTAGACACAAAATGAGTGAGCACAATGAGAGCAAACAAGTGGGCCACAGATGCAGTTTGGTTCGGTCCATGAGCTGGGTGCCTGTCCCTGCATGCAAAGTGTCCATGCAGCAGCTTTCCAAATGAGAGATACCAGCGCATTACACAGTGGCTCATTAAAGTGCAGCAGCATACTGG